CTATTTACTATTGAAATAAATACTTTTGAAATTAATAAACTGTGAAAATACTTAGCTGCAACAATCAAATTTAAGCGCTTACTTTACACTTAAATATAAATAACTGTGACATTAAGTTACAAATAAAACTAAAGAAACTCAAAACTTTTCAAGGCCTGTAAAAATATGTATGTAATTTCAACTGACTCAAAACTAATTATATTTATTAATAAAATATAAAGTTAAAAAATGCTTATCAACACAAATGTTACAACTTAAAATAAGCTTGCAAAGTGTGTGATTTGTAACTGTAAAAATATATTTGCAATTACAGTAAATCAATTAACTCGCATAACTATTATGTAATTAAAATAATTATGTACGTAAGTATAACGTATTGCAATTTAATTATTATGAATAGCCAATCAATTGAGGTATTTCCTTTTGATGTGTCAAAGGGGATACGTAAACCGATTGTAAATAAATAATGTGATTAATAAGTACGAGTGTGGGTGAGAAAAGGAGAATTTACAATACTCATATAATTCAACAAACATAAGAAATATGCATCGATATGAAAGCACAGTCAATATTTGTTTCCAATATTTCCTTACAAAAACTCTAAGACTAAAACTAAACTCTTGGACTAAAAGGTCCAAAAAGTCAAATATATAATATTGAAGCACCATTGAATAGTTGAGTGATTTTGCTATTCAAATTTGGCAAATAATACTAAGGACATATTTAGTGACCAGTACTGCACAATTAGTAATTATTTAAAACTGACAACTGCTTTCGGAAGGCATAACATTTTCTTTTAGAAAACTCGCAGAATAGTGGCTTCCAACTTATCGCATTTTTCGTTGGACGCTGTGCTATAGCGCTTTGTTTAAGTGGTCTTTTCAAATCTGGATTCGCCTGTTTCCATCCAAAGTAAAAGAAATGGCGCTTGGTCGCCGCTGCAACTTTTCAGTCTTTCAAAGCTTCTCAGTTTTTTTTTACAGAAGTTATATGCTAACTGCTTTCTATTTGTCCAAGTACTCCAGTGGTACTGAACCTTTTGGTTATGAGGGACCACAAGTGAAGCCAAATCCTTCTCCAGCTGGCCTTTCCATCGCAGACATGACCTTTCTCTATTACCCGCATCGCGACTGTAGCGCTTCTGTCCGTTCGTACGACATGATCAAACTAACGTAGTCACTGTATTTTGATTCGTCGCACTATGCCTACTTTTATCGTCTGCGGATTCGCCATCGCCAACGAGCAAAGGCCTGTAAATATTCTGCCGAATTTTCGTCTCCAGATCTCCAAGAGCCACCTCATTTACCTACTCAGTCCAAAGTAGCACTTGTTGGTAAGGGTGACTCTTCGTTGGATTTCAACGCTGACAATATTATTGCTGTTAATGCTGGTCTACAATTAAACGAAGTCATCTACTTTTAAAAACTTGAAACCGTCGACAGTGACGTGGATGCCTGTTTGTCGTTGTGTCCTCGTTTACCACCGGACCCACCTGCTTTGCTTCCCTATCTATTCCGAGAAAACAGAATAGGCGTGGCTTTTGTTTTTACCTATGAAGTCGATATCGTTGGCAAACGACAGCAATTGTACGCCCCTGTAAAGCATAGTGCCGGAGCGGTTCAGTTCTGCGGCTCTTATTATCTTCTCCAACATCAGATTAAAGAAATCACACGAAAGGGAGTCGCCTTGTGTGAAACCTCGTTTGGTATCAAACGGCTCGGAGAACTCCTTCCCAATTCTGAACGAGCGGTGGTATTGCTCAACGTCATTTTACACGGCCGTATTAGTTTGGCGGGGATACCAAATTTTGGACATCGCGGCATAAAGACAACTTCGTTTAGTGCTGTTGAAAGCGGCTTTTAAGTCGACAGACAGATGGTGTGTGTCGATTCTATCCTTGCCAGTCTTATCCAAAATTTGGAATATTATGATCATCTGATCTGTGGTGGATTTTCCAGGTCTGACGCCACTCTTAGGGGGCCAAATCATCTCTTTGACGTTGGGCTTCAGTCTCTTACACAATACGCTCGTTAAGACCTGGTAACCTAAGCTTAGAAAACTGATCCTGCGCACACGGCGGGGTCGTCTTTATTATGGATTGCGCAGAGGACTCTTAAAAACGAATCGTTGGCCATGCGTTCATATGACCATATTCTGCGTAGAGTTGATGTATGCACTCCTCGCCGCCGTACTTAAGCAGCTCAGCGACAGCTGCTTTGTTGTTTTTCAGCGGCGCCATTTCCATTCATACCCCATAACTGAACTTTTCATTGAAAGTGGTTTTTATGTGGCGCGAGCCAAATCAAGCGAAAGCTAGATTTTTCACCTTCTCCCTTTAACTCGTTCCCAAACGGGGTTTTGGTCGCTACCCAGAGGATACGTGAATAAAAATATTCGGACATTGTGAGCTGCAATTGAACCGTAGGCAAAAAAAGGTGCACACTTATTGAGCATTACTATTTTTAATCGGATATTTGGATCTTTCTAAGCATTCAACTCACATTAAATCTGCTTATTCGCTCAAGAGGTTAGTTTGGGTATGGCGATTGGTATACAGCTAGCTATGTTCTGCGCTTGAGGCCTAGCCTAGTTGAAAGAAACTTGACTCCAAGCTGACACTGGGCGTCTCTTTATTGCCCAATAAAAAGAAATTCGAATACTTGTTCAGGCTCAATTTAATACTAACTCCTTAAAAAATATTAGTAACGCACATATAATTTATTACTAACTCTTTCTATTGACCATGAAAAAAGCTAAAGTAATAGGTAAACTTAGTATACTTAAGTTATACATATAACGTCTAAAAAGTAGTTAAAAATAGATATGCAAGCATGGCCTATTGCGCAATGATAAAGCAATAAATTTTAATTTTTTTCTAACTTTTAATTCATAGATGTCCATTTAATTATAGAAAATGGTGTAAAAACCAAACACACGCACACACACACATAAATATACATAAATACATACATACACATAGAAATATATCAAAATTGCTAATTACTAATAATAATGAATTCAGCCCGTTATCAGCTAAATTAAAATATTAAAATGTAGTTGCATAAAATATTAATTAGCGAAAAAAAAAATGTTTTTGTTAAACCCAAATCGAATGGTTTTTATGAAAAGCCAAAATTAAATGCATAAACCGAAGCGAAACAAAAAAAATTGTGGATATGAACTGCAATGCAGCAGAAACAAAACGACTATAAAAATCGACGCCACCTTTTTGTTAGTGCAAAATATAAATATTAATAATATTTTATCCATATTTTTAAGATAAGCATACATACATACATACTTATACAAAAAAAATAAATATACTTAATTAACTAAGCAAAAAGGAAAGCAAAAAAGCAAATGAATATACATAACGGCCTATTGAAAATAGTTACGAGTATTTAAGTACTTATTTATTAAAAAAAAATTGCTAAAATTTTTGAGAAACAAAAAACTAAACCGATTGTGAAGCTACAAAAAATACACAAACAAAAAAAAAACAATATTTTTGAATGCAATTTGTGCAATCAGTTAATTAATTGAACAGGAATTAAGGCAATGTGACAAAGCTATGTAATTAAGCGTAGATTTTCGATGAGATTTAATGCGTTTCAGCGATCGATTTGATCAGCAAAATAAATGAATACAAAAAGCATACCAAATGATAGGGCAAACATTATTACTGCTATTAAAATATAAAGAAAATAAAAATAAAAAAAAGTTCATCAATAAAACATTGAGTATACTAAATTCTTGTTTTTCAGAGGGGTAAGTATGTACGCGTTTCTTGGTGTTTAAATTTAATAGCAAGTAAAGCGCCCGGAAGTATGCAATAATAAATAAACTATCGGGTGTGACAAAAAAAGTGCCAGATTTGCCCCCCTTATTCCAGCAAAGTCACACAACTCAGCGCATCACTATTGTGATTTCTACTGCGCCTCAAAGTATACAACAAGTGGGCCTACTCACTGGGCTCTTGCTCTTAAGTACTTGATACTGACAGGCGTTAATACAAACGGGTATATTTCTGATTTAAGGTAAACGAAGCAGGACATTACATTTATACCTTTCATGAGCATGAAATGGTATAGGTCTGCAAAAGTACCGAAAATGGTTGCGAAAAGGGTACGTTTTCAGCTATTTTTCTGAAAATTTTCTGATTCAATTTTTCGTTGACAAAATGTACTGGTGAACTAAGCTTAAGAGCGAAATACACCACTCAAGCGGCTTGACAAACCAATCGAAATATCCCTTTGCTGCAAGCCATTTGTGTTGCGTATGGGGTTTGACGAGTCGCTGAAGGCAATTTTAATAAAAATCCATTTTTTTTTTCCATTTTCTCGCGGCACACCTTGCCACACTTTGGGAAAGCCTGCTTTAGTCAGTATCGTTTGAATGACTATCGTTTCAAAGTTACATGATTCATGCCCAGGTGTTCATGAAAGGCATGAAGCCTTCGGCATAGCCTTGTTTTTACTTGTTTTTTTTTTGTTGCGTCTGTCCCGCCTCCTAAGTTTAATTAGGAGCCTTTTAGAAAGGATGTATTTGAAAAAGCGCATCTGAGATTTTTTTAAGTACATAAATCGTATATACACTTCGACAGTTAAGTGTAGAGGTTTTTAAAGTTTTTTGCCTTTCCTCCGTTTAAGGAGATACCGTTAATTAAACCTTGTCATTCCTTTTTTGAATTCCTAAACCAATTTTCTATTTGCAAATCACTTCATTATAAAAAAAGCTGCTAAACCGAGATAATGGCAACCAATTTGTTAATTCGCCACTCGTTGTATAACGCCATTCAATTTTGTATGCAAACATTTTATGTACACAAACATGATTTCACGCACACAACATATGCATGTGTAAGTATGCAGCTAACAAAACTCATTATGGTAAATGCAATTACCCAAGGTAAATATATTTATTAAATATTTAGCTTCTATGCACTAATTCCATTAAATTATTAACTCGAATTATTCGAATACATATACAAACACATACAAATAAATAAAGCTTTAGCCATGCAGTTACACAACAAATTTGATTATACAAATATGGAAATTTGCTGCTGTGGTCCTTTGAAATACTTAGTCCTACACGCACACATACATATGTAGACAAGTGCACAGGTATGCATGCTGCATTAAGCATGATTTTATTATGTTAACAGGGTAAAATTATCCGCGTTTAAGGTCAGGCGACCAAAGCAAATGCGGGTGGTTAGGGGCCGCGTTCACCAAGGACGCCAAACGAGGCCATCGCCGTGCAGAAAATCACCATCGGCACAGTCCACGTCATCACCGAGCGTTTCACTGCCATCGGCCTCACTCTCCACTGGCTCAACATTCGCGCCATTGCCGTGATTATGCAACACTTTTCGGGCATAAGGATGCATTCGCGTTTTGCCAGTGGCTGCTGCTCGCGCTGCCGCCTCCCAAATGCGTTCAAAGCTAGAAACTGCTGAAGCGGATATTTGCATTTGTTGGTGCCTGGCGTGCGATGTTGCTGCTGCTGCTGCCGCCGGCGGCGTCGTTGGTGTGGTTGCCGTTGCCTCCGCTGGCATATGCCGCAACGCTGTGCAGAATCTTTGGTAATGCTCATTTATATTGTTGGCCACCGTGCCATAACTAACTCCATTGCCACTTGCTTGCATTGCTAGCGCAGATTGAGCTGAGACTACGGCGGGTGGCGCTGTATTTGTTCCGTTGGCTGTCGTTGCGACGGCTGCTGCCGCTACTGCTGCTGCCATATTTGGCACATAATTCGCAATATATTTGATTAAATCTCCATTTATATGTTTGTTTTGTTGATCGTATTTTTGTAGGAAATGTGACACCTCCACAGCGCAGTGCTGAAATCCTGCCCAGAATTTCTCCATGTTCAGCGTATCGCTGTGGCGTACAAAGAGACCGTTTGTTTCGCGCAGCCGATGTAGATGGCGCACTGTTAGCTCTAAGATATCAGCCTTTTCCAGCTTGGAGAGGTTTTCGCCATCCTGGAAGAGAAGAAATTAAGTTGATTAAATGGTGTAATCTCAATTTAAATTTGACATAGCAATAGCTAGTCTAAGATTTGAAACTTAGAAGCTCCGTGTGTGATGTCGATAAAAAAGTACTTGTATTCAAAGGCGCCACCTTCGATAGCATATGCAATTCGGCTCTAAAGCATGGAGCAGATACTGTCCTCACGCTCATGTAGAGGATTATTAGGATTCATAATTGAATGCCTAACTGACAGCCTTAATAGCTATTATATCAACATTCAGGCCCATTACGATCTCTCAGTCGTTTGCAGGAAAGCGCGCATTTGTATTTAAATACATATTTGCGAAAGTATTTCGTATTTTTATATTTTTTAAATACATTTTTAAGCAGTATTTGTATTTTGTATTTTTAAGTACTTTTTCCTTTACTCATTCTTTTCTCTTCACTTTTTCATTGCAACAAATAGGGAATTTTTGATTTTTTTTTTAGTTACAGCCTTTTGTATGCACGTGTAATTTCAAAAGTATTTTTAAATGTATTTGTACACTTCTCCTCACTTCATCAGTGCACCCTTTTAATTATTAGAATTTTCAGTTTTCCTTTTTTTTATTTAAATCCCTTAATTTTTTATAAAAATGTCGCAAACTCTGCAAAAAACGTGTCAAACTAATTTTAAAATTTTATATAGATTAAAAAAAATGGCAACAAAGCCTTTGTTTTTGTTTTGTTTGTCAAAGGGGTGCACTATCCTAAGGACTTGGAGTGAATAAGTTAATGTTATTTTTCGAAAAATTTCCGCGTAGGTATACAGTTTTGTAGCCCAGTCAATTTAAGTGCAATAAAGTGCACGTTTCAAATGGGTGGAAAATATTGTTAATGTTTGACATTTTTTTGTTTTTTTTTTTGCTGACGGGCGTCGCATTTTCTTTTATATATAGAAATTTTGTCATGTATGACACTGCCAAAAAAAACAATGCCAAAACTCAATAGCATTTTGCAGCCACTAGAGACTTTCATTTTATTGAACTAAAGTTGCATTGGCTACAAAACTGCATACCGGATATTTTCCTATTCACTGCAGATCATTAGGATAGCGCACCCCTTTGTTTTTATTGGAATTTTTTTAATTTGTATGAAATTTTAAAATCGGATTTACACATATGTATGTACATGCTGGGGATTGAAAGGTTGCGCTATTCAAATGAGTAGGAGTGTATTTTGAAATACTTATTTTGTATTTAAATACTCTTTGTAAAAGGAGGTTTTGCAAATCCTTTTTTGTGACGTATTTAAATTCTATATTTACATAAATAGTTTTTTTTGCAAGTATTTTTACAATCTCTGCAAATCACACTGAATATGATTGACACTTGGTGTAATGGAAATCGGCTCACCACTAACCCAACCAAAAGTAGTGTTGAAGAAGAAAAAGGTTAGACGGCCTTGGTTCCGCTGCCCTTAAACGAGTCACTATACAGATTACTTTCGAAGTGAAGAGTTAAGATGTAATTTTAGAGACTTAGTATACCAATCAGAAGTTTCATGGTGAAAAAAGATCTCAAAATTCAATGGAAAAATGGAAAAAGCTTTTTTATTTAGAATTAATAAAGAAGCGATAATGTGGAAAAAAAAATATTTCTCATCAGTCAGAAAGGAGGATTTGCAAATTCAGCTTGGAGTTGAGAGTGGTTTTTCTTTTAATTTTCTTTAGCTGTATCAGCTTACATCGGCTTGGAGTGAATTTTCAGCTGTATTGGGAGTTAAATATTTTGTTTTTATTTACAGTTGTATGTCATTGAGAGCGCAAAGCTTTTATAGGAAGTCTTCTAACCAATGCCAATCAGAAGTAATGCAAAACTTAATTGTTAATTCATCGGAGTTATTAAAACGCATACTACTATTAGGACTCCTAACTACTAACAGAGGTTCTTCTGGCAGCGCCATTTATTAGCTAAATCCTTTCCCGACTTTCATACAAATAGACTGTTCCCGTCCTCAAGATATTAGTTAGAAATAGTCTGAAGTCGTTTCCGTAAACAAATTTTGTATCTTCATTACAATCTTCCGGACAACTGCGGGCTGTTTCTGACTAAATCCTGAAGTAACTACGGGAACAGGCTAACAATTTCTAGGCATTTGGCTGACAGGAAGTGAAGTTATGGCGATTTAAATAAAAATATAAAAGTGAGCTTCGATGGATGAAATTTGCTCAGAATTCACCAGTATAAAATATTATTTAAGGCCAAAAAAGATAAAATCTTCCTATTTAACAATTGTCACTGGTAATGAATCGAGATGTTTTCAATATCGAAGGTGCCCGCTAGACCAAGAAAGCCAAAAATACGCTTTTGGTAGAAGTAAAAAGCGAAGTCAACGCTGCTTTGTTTATATGATTCCAATGATCTTATTCGCTAAGAGTTTGCGCTGATCAAAAGCTAGTTTTGAAATATATTGGTGCGACTCATAAAAAGCAAAGTATCGCGGTCTACAAATCTTCAATCTTCTATCTCAAAAGCAACTTTAGAGCTTCATATATTCTAATTTATCTACAACTTACCGCTTGCAAAGTGCTGGTCATCAAATCCTTCAGCTCATCCAAACATTTATTGATGCGCGCGCGTCGCTTGCGTTCCAGCATCGGTTTCATAATCTTGCGGTACTGGTAGGTGCGCGACACGGGCTCCAGCGGCAGGCCATGCATCATAAAGTGATGAGGATGATGATTTGGCGCCATTTTTGTGTGATAACTCATGCAGGCATTTATTTTCAAGCACACGATATGCGGAAAAAATTTATTATTCAACTACACTAACAGTTCACAAAAATATTTGCGCTTTGAATTTTAACACTTTGACTTGCACAAGTCTATGGTTTATCAAAAAATTTCAAGAACAACTTAGAACATTTTCGAAACTTAACTTCTTAACTTGCTTTTATAACTTTTCACCGTTCTTGCCACGAACTTAACCGGCGCGCATTGCCAACAAAAATGATCGTGAGCGCGCGATAAGTTGACTTTTTATTGGAGCACTCGCGCCGTATACACTCTCGCAATCAATTGTTCTCGCGTGCGCACTCATTTCCCATTCGCTGGCGAAATGCGCTGTGGGTCCGGCTGTCGAGTGCGACAACCAATCGTCGCGTGCTCCACTTGGGCCCGGTTGGGATGCACCATACCGCGCCAAACAACTCGTGCACGCTATCAACACGATCGTGTGGAGCTGCTGATCAACATCGATCATCGCTGTGAAATCTGCATTTAGTTAGTGGCAAAGAAGACGGTAGCTAGTGCAATTGGAGCGCTTGCTCATCCACTGTGTTCGCTCATTTCTGGTTCTCTCACTCTCTGGCTGACCAATAAATACTTAACCAGTTTTACCCGCAACATCTCCGCAATCTTTGCAACGATTAGCCAAGCGCGTAGAGATGAGCCGAGCCGCACAAGGCAGATACAATTTCATGAATGAAATTCCATTGCTCCACAATAGTAAGTTTATTTGCACATCAGATGAATGAACCGCAAACACACACACACACGAACACATGCTAAACGGCAACAGGCAGCAGGCAAGGCATAGCCGTAGCGTGGCCAAGTCGCACGTTTTTATTAGTGGCGTCAAAGTGACGAAGTGTCTGCCTCTGTGCTACCAGTTAGTTAGTTAGTGCGCGAGTGTGGCAAGCGGCACTCGTGGGATTTAGTTGACTCAGCATTGCGTTGCATGCTTCCATGTGAATCTTGAGCTGTATATGTTTACATAGTTATTTGTGGGCTCGCTTGTTTGCGGCATTCGAATACACATATTTGTTGTTTTTGTTTTCTAACTGACGTTAGTTGTTTATGTTTCGATTTAATTCCCTTCTGCGCTACGCTGCTTTTTCTCTCGAACCTCATTCTGACGCGCTACTGTAGCTTTTTATTATAGTGTTCTGTGAAAGCCAAGCACAAAAGCGTCGTATATGTATGAAGAATTGCAATAACAGCTAATAAAAATGCTGAATTGCGTATGCGAGTAGGCTGGCACGGGCAATGAATGCGCTAATCTCGTTATGAATGCTACTTAGTTCTTTTTGTTTACTCAAAAAAGTGTATACTACTCAACAGTAGCACAGAGATTGTGATACAGTGGTTTGTTTTGAATATCTTCAGAAAAATTTTGTTTGACTAAAAATCGATTTCTTAAGATTTCTTGAACAACTAGACAACCGAACCAGCTCACAGTGGCGCCAAACTGGAATTTACTGTTCAGTAAAGTAGTAAAGAGTATTCATTTTTTAACTGATTTGGGTTTTTTAAGGATGGTTCCGCGCGCAGAAGTGGAAAGCTTTTAACTGCCCTTCAACTGGGATGGGCAGAAGTTATTCTTGTGCGTACGGTTCAAATCACAGCTTACAACGTCCGGATATTTATATCCACGTATCCTCTGGGTGTATCCGCCCAATGAAAAGTTAGAAAAATGCTTGGATGAGATGACGACCATGGCAAACGTATAAAGGACTATGATTTGAGGGTATGCCCTTGGAATATCCAGACCCTTAATGGGAAAGGTTCCTCTGCCGCGGCTGGTTGTTGTGCTCGGGAAGACTAAAGCTGAAATCACCGCCATCCAAGAAATGCGATGGGCGGTGCAAGGCAAGGCAAGCGTGGAGCCTTGCGACGTCTACTATAGTTGCCACGTAAAGGAGCTTAAATTCGGTGTTGGATTTGTGGTGGGAGAGAGACTCCATCGGCGAGTACTGGCGTTCACCCCGGTGGACGAACGTCTAACCACAATCCTCATCAAAGCGAGATTCTTCAATATCTCGCTCATCTGCGTCCATGCCACGACGGAGTAGAAGGACGGGGCGTCCAATGATCTCTTGTATGAGCGCGTGGAAAGAACATATGAGCGCTGCCCTCGACACGATAAAAAAATTGTTCTTGGCGATTTCAATGGCAAGGTGGGTAAGGAATGGATTTTTTGCGCCACTGTCGAAATGGGAATACGTGGTACTAGGCTGTCTGCAGATCGAAAAACGAGAAACCATATCGTTACAGCGTTTTAGACGTACGCACACTCCGAGGCCCAAACATCGACTCGGACCACTATCTTGTTGCAGCCGAGATACGCACCCGCCTCTGTACAGCAAAAAATGTATGCCCAAATATGCAAGGAAAGCTTAACGTCGAAAAGTTGCAATCACAACTATGGAGAGAACACTTTCCCACTTTATTGAATGGCAGCAGCACTGAAAGTAGTGAAGAAGACGAATCGGAGCGCCAAGTCGATGCAGTCGATGTCCCACCGAATGACTATGACAAGGCACGAATAGCAATAACGCTTCTAAAAACAACAAAGCTGCTGGAGCTGAGATCCTGCCAGCGCAACTATCTAAGTACGGCGGCAAGGAGCTGATAAGGTGCATGCATCAACTCTTATGCAGAATATGGTCACATGAACGCATGCCCGACGACTGGAATTTAAGGGACGCTCTGTCCAATCCACAAGAAAGGCAATCCCGCCATTCGCGCCCATACCGCGGTTTTGGCAATTTTCTCATTGCCGACGTGCACTGAGGAAGATTAAATGAGGTATTACCCTCCCATGCACTTAAATTGGACCAATGCTTTCTCGCTTTTTTTTCTTGGTTATTTTCCTTTTAATCAATTTACATTGTTGCTCAATTAAAATTTTTCCTACTGACGCTGTCCTGTTTATTAAACTCATGCTAATATTTTTTTATATACACAAAAATGGGGAAGAGCGTCTGTAAAAAAATTTCAAGATTCAACGGTAATTTGCACCTACTTCAATATTGCAGTTGCTAAAATTTTATACTGCGTTCTTAAAAATTGTGAGAAAGAAGTTTGAAATGTTCCAGAAACTTTTACACATTTCTCTTAATTTCCTACAAAGTTTAAATCTTGCGTTTATGCGGGATTTGTTAGAGAATGTACTGTATTTTAATTGAAAAATAATGAAACTCAACTTAAAAACAAAATAACCCAGACATGCAAGCGAAAAATCATTTTTAAGTCCTATTCAAGTGCATGTACATGCGCCGGCTTGCACATGTCGGGTGTTTACCTCAGCAAGACTTATCGGGAAAAGGTCTGAAAATTATTTTCACTTGCTTCATTTCAAAATAGCTCCACTGTATCGTTTCTTACAATTTCTGATATTAAGGCTTACGAATGTATTTGTGCCGCGCATAAGTGTCAGTAAATACGTCAACGACTCCCGTGGGATAGTTGACACCCTGGGAGGCTGTTGTCACTGCCAATGCCAAGCTCATACAATAAAACTAACTTTAAGCTCATATTGCTGTTGTTGTTTTGAATGCCGCTACTGACGCGCTTTTTACTTTTGTATTTTTTTTCTTCTTCGAATAGATTGCCGCACTTTGCTGAACAATAATAATAAAAAATATGAGCTATGTAAAAAACAAAGCAAAACAAAATAAAAGCAAAAGAATGCAAATTATAAAAAAAAAACACAAAAAACAGTAAACGGATATGACAACATTGCACAGGGGAAAAAGTATGTATGTACGTAATGATAAATCGGCGCACAAGACGCAAGACGTAAGGCAAAAAAATTTCGCTTTCAAAA